AACCCCTCAGCTAAAGCTGTTTGGGGAAAAACAAAACCAAGCCCGAGCAGACTTTGAGCACAAATCTATGTCGAAAGAGCCGGCTTTGTCGCCATTTGGCAAGGAAGGCTTGCTGAACATCTTCCTCCGTGAGGCTAGCCTGTTCTGCTTTGTTTGTTGGTTCTTGGTTGGGTGTCTTGGGGGTTTGGGTTCGTAAATTGAGCTTCAGGGTATGTAGGGCTTGAAGTGGTCGGTTTCATCCACGTGCAGGAGTTCTTGGTGCAGACATTACCCGAGCCCATAGATTCAATGCTGGGGATCCTCTGGCTTCGGCTGTAGGGATTCAAGTTTTACGCCCGAACCGAAGACATATGGGCGGTAGTGGGCAGGGGATGCGCTGGTGCATGGCTGAAGAGCCAACATCGATTCCTGGGGGTGGTCAGTGACAGTCTGACAGCATGAAGTGATATGATGTTGTGTTCCTACACTTTCCTCGACCATCCCATATCGCTGCATGATTGTGGTTTCGGATGCTTGGCACCGGCGGCCAAGAGCTGTCAGACCTGTGCGTTATTGTTATATCTGCTTGGCCCTGATACGCCACCAAAACCTAGTAAAACTAGGGAGCCTTCGCTTGGAGAGACTCGGCTGTCCGCAGGTGCCTGTCGCGTCACTTCAGATGATGAAGATGCCCGGCTCAAGCATGGCGTTGGCTTTGCCTGGGGTTTTAGCCTTCGTGTGCAAGCTCGGGTGGAAAGAAGATGTGAGCGCTGCTGCTGCTGCTGCTGCTGGTGGTGGTGCTGGTGGTGGAGGTGGTGATAGTGGAGGTGGTGGTGGAGGTGGTGGTGGTGGTGGTGGTGATGGTGGTACGTGGCGCTGGTGCTGGTGGTGCTGTCAATGACGCACAGCACATAACATCAAGTTAGAGTAACAGTTAGAGTGATGCTAATTCTGATAACGACAGCAAGGAGGAGCAAGGTCATCAGGATAAGGAGCTAGAGTGAGATGATGATGATGATGATGATGATGATGATGATATCACGATGACCTTGACCGATCATGTGACCGTGATGAGAAAATTAAATAAACATATGTAAGCCAAAGCTTGTAAACATGACGACGGCGGCCACGCCAAGGAAGACTGTCTGTGCCTCAAGGCCAGTACAAAACAGACAGAGACAGACGGACGGACGGACGGACAGAGAGAGAGAGAGAGAGAGCGACGCATGGTGGGAGGGGTCTCTCCTCTCACCCCAACCCTGGCAAAAGAAAGAGACACACACACACACAGATAGACAGAAGGATAGACGGACGGACGAACAGTTTGACAGACACATGTATCGCTGTGAATTCATGGGCGCCCGTGTGTGCATGTATGTGCCATGTGTATGTTCGCTTGTAGCTTATTCAGCTGCCCTCAAACGTTCTGAGCATGCCACTACTTCGGCTGGCAAGCCTAGGTCGTCAACATAGAATTAAGGTCCATTCAGGTCTGAACTTCTTCAACAATAAGGTAGGGGCCTTATTTTTAAGAATAGGGTTTGGGGCATACTATATAATAACAATAATACTAACAATAATAATAGAAAGGAGCCCCCAAATAGTATTGGTAATTATTTAGGCTCCTATATTACTGCGCCTTAAGAGTCCCTCAATAGCTCTTCCGATTATCTGGCCACCAGTTGGTCACCACCTCTCGCGCTGAGTCGCGACGACCAACCGTGCCCTGTAGCCTCAACACTATACTTCGGAAACCGGTGGGGCCCAGAAGTTTTTCAGGCTCATAGTGTAAAGACCAAAGGAGAACCACTGAGACGAGGTGAGGGGTTTTTGGTCCAGCCGAGGTACACTTTATCCTAATCCCAACCGTTAGCCCAGAGCCTTAACACTGAAGACATGGACGTCGAAACGCGGGGATGCGGTAGCCATACTGGGCAGACATTGAAACCAGCCGGCACGTCCCTAACATTAAGGACCAAACCGCATTTAGCAGTAACCCCCGTGGACGATATATAGAGTATAGGTGGCAGGCCCAAAAACTATAGAGTATAGTTAATCGCAACGGCTCGCAGGAGATGGCTCTTTTGACCCAGCGCCGAAGTGTGCAAAATAAGTGAGTGCTAACGTCTCTGCAATAGCCCCCCTAAGCCCCCAAACTAAAGAAACAGCAAGGATGCTCCGGCTTCTCCGCGATGCTGTCGGCGAATTGCAGGGAGCTACTTGGCAGCATCAGTAGTCCTGCAGCCCAGATATGGGTAGTTCTCTAAATGAGGGTCCCCTTCTGAGGACCACCTGCATAGGATTCGGGGTTTAGGGTTCCTAGGCACTGCTTCACGGCGACGGCAGTTCCGGGCGAGAGATGCCTGCTGCAAAAAGGGCTAGGAACCCTCCAAAGGCTTCTGTCTGTTTCCCTTCACCCGAGGCCTAAAGCCCATGGCTGGGGAAATACGGTAACTCTACGAAATGGGGGCAGAGGTAGTTGTAGACAGATCGCCCGCGCACACATAAGATGAAGGTCTAACATTCGACAAACTCCGCTGCCCTGGGGCTCCCCTGGTCGAAGTTGTAGGTAAGGAAGCCGGAATGAGCAGGAAAGCCGTTGAGGTGGCGCCGAGAATAGTGTTTGGGGATGTACTATCGAACGTGATTGGGGGCGATGCGAGGATATAGGGATGCTATAGGGTTGTTATATATCTATAGAGATGCGCATGTAGAGACTGTCATATAATTGTGTAGGGACTACATGGAGGCATTCTAGCTCTTGCTGTAGGGGCCTGGCTCATCAGGCACGAGAAGTCCAACTTCTCACACCTTGCTTGTAGCTTCAAGTCAGCTGAAGCCCTAAACCCTAAACCCCCAAACTCTAGACCCAAGTTCGGTGGAGAGAAGCCTGACACAGTCTCACGCCGACTTCCGATAGACCTCGCCTGGATTGTCCGAGTTGTGAGAGTGTCAACCCAAGTTAGCTCCCGCCCTCGTGAACTTATGCTGGTTCCTCGAGCCACACATCGGTGGCCAGGAAGTCATGAAGCTCCAGCAAAAACCGCGCTGCTGAAGGTGTGAGAACTGCTGCTAAAGGTTTAGGGTTGAGGGCCAAGCGCTGGCGGCTTCTCAATCCACCTGGGTGCCTCGGTGGGATACCTACCGGACGAGCAATAATTCGAGCTGCAAGACTCGGCAAAAGGGATGAGGCTCCCTCTAAACCCTAAACCCTATAAACCCTAAACCCTAAACCTGAGGCACTCGGTGATTTTTCGCTCAGTGTGTCTCCACGTCGGAGTTTCGCTGAAAGCGGACGTACCTCGACCTGAACACACGCAAGCCCCTGGGGTAAGCATCCAGGGCCGAAGAAATAAGACGGCAGGGGTTGCCTTGCTGTCTTTCGATGTTCGTTGAGCTTGTAACATGTCCAGTAGTTCCTAGTTCCTATGACCTGGCATTTTTTTAGGGTGCATCTTTTTAAGAGACGAGTCCAACGCGCGATGGATGTGCTTTCTGCTTTAGTCGCTTGAACAACTGCCTGCTGTGAAGTAAAGCTTCCGCGAAGCTCGGGACTCGAAGCAGGGAAACTCCATGTCTCAAAGCGTAGAGACGCAGTGTTGATTACAGCCTTCACCCCTCAAGCAAGAGGCGCCAATCGCTCGAAACTCTTAGATCTGCATGGCAAGATAGTCTCATTACTCGGTATGTTGCTCATAACGAGATTCAGCACTGCGGAAGAAGAGTCCTCTCTCTAGCATCGGCATACTCCGAAGAGAGGCCAGCGAAAGGGAGCAGCGGACCGCATCTGCATTGCTATGAAAAGCCCCGTCATCAGCATCTCACCAATCGTGGTCGTTAACGGCCCGCAGGACGATAGTCAGCTTCGCAATATTCCTATAACGGCTTAAGGTTTACGGTCCTTCATGAGGGGACATGACAGTGCCTGAACACTGGCATGAAACAGGGATGGGTTAGCGGACGAAGGCCCAGTTAGGCTCTGCAGATTTGAACCGGAGTTCCGCTGCAGTCACACCCTAAACCCTAAACCCTAAACCCAAAAAGAGACGGAAAAGGGACGTTCAAAAGAAACACCTCAGAGAGAGGCGGAGGTTCCTCGGGTCTCTCGAGTGCTGTTCGTGCCCCGAGTTCCCCTGAAACCAAAGCCCACGGCAGCCTCCAAAATGTCGAGGTTTGTGCTTCAGGGTATTCAAGCTATAACTACTCTGTTCTAGTCACTCCAGGTAAAAGTACACTATACCCCCCCAAAACTCTATTCTAGCCTAAACCCTTAAATCCCTGGGGGCATTGGGCTTCGCCGGTTTGGTTCTTGGCTCGCATCTCTCGACTCGCCGGGGCTAAGCTGTAGCGATAGCAAGCCGAAACCCTGAACCCACTTGAGGGTTTCGGGTTTAGGATTAGGGTTTAGGGTTGAGGCTTGGGTTCAGGGTTGAGGGCTTTAGGGGTGGGTTCAGGGTTGAGCGGTTGAGAGATTTAGGGTCGAGGGGTTTAGTGGCTTAGGGATCTTAGGGTTTAGACCCCAAACACCTGAACACCCAAACCCGATACCCCCCGCCCACAGAGCCCTCGCCTGTTGCTGCAAAGCGCTTGAGGGAGGCAGCGAGATGCCAATCCTAGCAAGAGAGGTGTTTAGGGGTTTAGGGTTTAAGTTTTACGCTTGATCCCTACCTAAACATCCCGAAGTATGCAAACTGGCTCAACCCTTTAACATTTCAAAGGCTATTATGCGCTTAAGGTCCAGGAAAGCAAGCCTAAGACTCAGCGCCTAAAGCCTCCGAACCTAAATCGTAAACCCTGTGCCCATGTAGATCCATATCCCAGAGAGGCCCATTCCACCCCAAACCCCGACCCCGTGAGGAACCCCAAAGCCCTAAACCCTGGGTTAAGGGTTTAGGGTTTAGGGGAACCCTAAACCGCGACACGGCCAGGTGCCGGAGGAGACCACCGGCACTACGGTGATCCGCCTGGATGGTGCTGGGAAGAACGCGGGCAACGAGGACGTTTTAACCTTCAGGATTCAGGGTTTAGGGTTTGAGATCTGTTTACTGTCATGGCCGAATCATCAGTTGTTTTGATTTGCGCGGCTACTGGGAAGATCGACTGACTCCGGTGGCAAGCTCTCATAACCTCCAGCTGCTCACAGCAGTGCAGGTGTTAGAGAGTTCGAGTGTCTCGAGGTTTAATTTCTTCGGGTTTCGGAAGCATCGGGGTGTCGGAAGCGCTTCAGGGCTTTCGGGTGTCTCGCACCCCATGCACTGTTCCAAGGATTTCATGCTTGAGTGGTCCTGTTCCTCGATCGAATGCATCCGGGTTCCCGGAACTCACCAAACCCAAACCCCACAAACCGCTGTGCACCCAAAAAGCGGGACGTCCTGGTGGAGGACAGAAGACTCAGAACGCTTAACAGCAGCCTAAGCCCTGAACCCGATCCCATTGTTGCAGAGAGCTGCGTCCTGTTAGGTCCAGGGAGCACCGGGCTGTCAGCACCAATGTAGTGAACAAGGCTATTTAGTCACATTATCCCGTTGTAGTCGTCCCACGGTCACAGTTGTTCTAGTAGTCTGGAATTTGTAGTGCACGTTCAAGATCGCGATTTGGAGCATTTCAACTACCCCAGAAGCTCCAATATAGGGGCCTGAATATTTAGAATCGGGCTTGGGGGTATATTATACTATAAATAATATATTAAGGAGCCCCCCAAACCCCATTCTAATTCTTAAGGCCCCTACATCAGAAACCTTAGTTCTCCAAAACCCAACCTTTAAACTTAGGCATCTCGGCTAACCAGGTGC